TGTGTGTGTGTGTGTGTGTGTGTGTGTGTGTGTACATACATGTCTGAATACACATATTTTAAGGGAGTACTAAGTTTGGAAGATGTCTTTTGTTATTTCCTTGTGCTCATGAAATACCGAATTAAAACTGACATGAGGGTTTGGATCTACACACCTGGGGGTCAGGTAGGTGATTAGGATTTGGAAATGTGCAGTAATCAGGGTGTGGACAGATGTTGAGTAGAGAACTAAGAGAACCCTTGTGGTGTTGGCAGTGTTGAACCCTGGGGACACTGACATTTAAGGGTAGGATCTCAAAATAGAAGACATGGGAGGGAGGAGTTTAAGAAGAGGAAATGGTCCGTAGTTTAAAATGTAAGGAAGCCAGAAGAAAGCCTGAAAAACTCCCACTGAAAAAGTCATTGCTCAAAGCAGAAATAGGAAAGTGATGTGTAAGATGTGGAATTTTGGGTACGTCTCTGTAATTTGCAAAGTTTTTTCATTGTTGTTACTTTAAGATAGAGCAGAACCTGTCTTGTAAGGGCGGGATAATACTTTGTTGAGGGAAGAAGAGTTGTGGAAAGGGAGAGGCATTGTGAGCTCATCAGGAGAAAAAAATTTTTCCATTCAATAACTGTTTATTGGCACCTGTTATTTATGAGCCCAATACTGTTCCAGACTCCTGGGTACAGTGGGGACAAAATGACTCGTGTGAAATTAATTAAATGCTGCATTAATATGTGAGCTTAGACATGAAGTAAAGAGAGCAGGGATCCTGCCAGTTTTCCTATTACATATAATCTTTTAGCAATGTTGACAAATTCCCTCATTTGCTCATACAGGAATTTCAGAATATGTGTGCATGTCTTATTAAGAATATGTTTTTAATAGAATCATAACCATTGCTGTTAAGTTGATTCTTACATAGCAACTCTACAGGGTTTCTAAGTCTGTGAAGCTTTACAGGAGCAGATGGCCTCATCTTTCTACCATGGAGTGGCTGATGGGTTTGAACTGCTGACCTTGGGATTAGCAATCTAAGACAGTATCACCAGGGACCATGAAATTACTGTTGGATCCATTCTTTATTGAGCCAGTCAGTAGGCTCTATTAACTTTTGAGTGATGGCAACAAAGTGTCAGAGGTTATAAAACCATCCCCAGCATTGTGTACAAGTACAGGCTATAGGGCGAAGCTTTTCATCTATTTGTGCTATGTAAAATTTAGATTTCATTTTTTTCTTTTTGTTTTCTTTTTAAAGTGTGCCGCTAAAGGTCGAAAAAAATTAAAAAGACAAAAGTGGCATTGCCAATGTAAGAGAAAGCACTTTGTAAATAATAGAGACTGGTGTAGTGGGGCTAAGTGTTGGGCTCCTAACTGCAAAGTAAACAGGTGGAATCTACCAGCCCCTCCCAAGAAGAAAGATCAGGCTTTCTGCTTTTGTAAAGGTTTGCAGTCTTGGAAACCAATTGGGGCTGAATTGGAGTAGACTCCATGGCAGTGGGTTTGGATTTATTTGGGCTTGGTTTTCTCAGAAGGAAAAGTCATTAGGTGTGTATTGGAGACCTATTGGTGGTGGTTATGTTTGTTATCCATCAAGATGCTGTGAATGGTCTGATGATGATAACGTGGGATTTGCCAAGATGGTTCTGGCCAAGTGGAACAGTTAGAAAAGTAGCATCACTCACTCACCTAGATTTAACTGACTGCCTCTCTCTCAGTGGAGTGGGGTAGGGTTGGGTGGGGTTATCGACTACATGCAGCTTGAACATTGCTGAAGGTACCGGTGGCCATGTCTTGGGTGTGAAGGGTTGGGTGGAGGCTGTGATTTGGTTTAGAATCTTTTGTTCACCCCTCTTCCTCTAGGCCTTCTCTCCATGCTTTTTGATCCCATTGGAGCCCTATGTGCTTTAGCCCCATTTCTTGCCCTGCAGTCATCTGCCAGCTGTTTTCTCAGGCCTTAGGATGAGACAGGGGTCTTCATGGCACTCTGCAGTGCCCTGACTCTGCTCCAACAAACGGTTTCTGTAGTGCCTGCTTCGGTCCCCCAGCTCCCTCTAAGGCTCTGCTCTATTCCCTACTTGCCCATTTCCTTGGAATAAAAAAACAAACCAAAACCATTGCTGTCAAGTTGATGCCAACTCATGACTTTATAGAACAAAATAGGCTTTATGGAAACAGACTGCCCCATCTTTCCCCCACAGGCTGAGGGATTTAAACTGTCCACCTGTCTGTTAGCAGCCGAGCGCTTACTTAACCTGTGCCACCCGGTTTCCTTCCTTAGGATAAATTGCTAAGAGTGGGGTTGGCAGATGAAAAGATTGGAACCATAGATAGATCTAATGATATAATGCCCAGGGCTCTGCAGAAAGCTTGAGACAAAAGAGCAATCAGAGTGTAGGACCTCTTATTGCCTGCACCTGGCAGTGTTGGGGCCCTGCTTGTTCATTTGTGGTGATTACATGGAAGCTGGTATTTTTTTTTTTTTTTACATCTCTAGTTCATTATAATTATATCACTTCTCTACATAGAAACAAGTAATTTTTATTGGTATTGGTGGATTTTTTTAGTGTGTTTGTGAAATTTCATTTTGTTGAGTTGAATTTTATATGAGCATATATACATCTTATTATTAAGGAGCCCTTGTTGTGTAGTGTGTTATGTGCTTAACTACTAACCACAAGATCAGCAACTCAAATCCAATACCGATTCCTCAGAAGAAAGATGAGATTAAAGATCAACAGTCTCAAAAACCCAAAGGGGCAGTTTTGTTCTGTCCCATATAGGGTTTTGCTATAATTTTGTGGCAGTGAGGTTGGTATTATTTCTGGTAATCTCCCTATTAGCCAGAGAATATGTGACAGACTTTTGTTGTTAATAATACTGGCTTTTCTGGGGTCTGATCATTTCAAGTTGGAAGGTAAACTTGTACTGATACAATTTACCTAGAATTGACTCCATTGTAATAAAGCTCAGAGGATACAATTCTGTTTAAGTTTAGCTGCCCTGAATCAGAGCAGCCTGGAAATTGGTGCTTTTCTGGAGGTGAACAATAGTTCCATCAAATACTGATATTCACATTGATTGTTGGAAAGATCACTTGCTAAGTTAACTTTCCTTTTCTCCTGTTTTGCCAATTCTCCTCTGCCTTTCCCCCTTTGCTCCTTGGCCTAGCACCTGACCATGTCAACTTTCTAGTTTGTTCTTTTGTCAGTACACTCATTGCAAGTAGCAATATCCTGGTAGACGTACCTCATTGGGGAAGAACCTATGGCATTCTGTGGTCCTTTATATAGAAAAATAACCCTAGTGACATGGTGGTTAAGGACTAGCCTGCTAACCAAAAGATCAGTTTTAATCAGCATTGGGCTGCATGGTCAGCAGTTCAAAACAGTGTAGAATTGCCCTGTGCTTTTATGAGACTGTAACTGTTTATAGGCATAGAAAGCCTCTCCTTTCCCTTAAGGAGCGGCTGGTGGTTTTGAACTTCTTTCCTCAAGTTTTGCAGCCCAACATGTAACTCACTATGCTACCAGGGCTCTTTTTGACTCCATCCAGTCTGTAGCAATAAATAGAATTTGAGATAGAGTTAGCGCTAGGGCTCCTGGGCATGGTGGACTAGAAGACCACCGGTTAGTTCCTTAGAAATAATCCTTGGTTTGTCATAGTCAGTGCTGAGGTAATCTAAGGTGTAAATTTGAATTTTATCATAATCCTTGCCTTTTTTATGTTTTACAGAAGAAAATTTCTTCCTTCAATAGATGATAATGAAAATTCAGAAGAAAGAGAAGCAGGTAAGTGACCCATTTCTCTTAGGGGAATGCACCCAGTGGGCATAGGTGCTTTTTTTAACCAGGAGACACTACCAGTCTTCCCTCATCTTTGAGCCTCTGCTAAGGCTTGCCACGTGGCAACTGAGGGTTTTCTTCTAAGTGACTTTATATATGATTTTTTCCTTTTGTGGAGGTCAGCTCCAATATAGGAATTAGTGTAATGAAAACTATGAATCAAATTATTATTCAAAGTTAGGTACCGTATATACTCAAGTATAAGCTTGAGTTTTTCAGCACATTTTTTAGTGCAGTTTTTGTGGTAAAATTAGGTGCCTTGGCTGATACTCGGTTCAGCTTATACTCGAGTATATACAGTATGTGTGAGAGAGCTTTTCCTCCCTGGGAATAGCTGTCCACGTTTTAGTAAAAGAGAGATGTGAGTAATTCTTCATGGTGTATATACAAAGGGACTTGAAAAAGTTTGTGGAAGCTGATAGCAAGGGTTCAAGTAGAAAGAAAATATTTTGAGAATGATGATGGCAACAAGTGTACAAATGTGCTTGACACAATGGATGTATTGTGTTAAGAGCTGAATGAACCCCAACAAAATGATTTAATTTAAAAAAAAAGTTTGCGGAAACATAGCATAAAAAGACTGAGTAAGAGTTTTCTTGGAGAGAGGGGCTCTTAAACTGGTTGGAACATCAGCCTTTTGGCATTACGTTTCCTGTAGAGGAGCAGAATTCAGAAAGATAATTTGGCCTGTGCTAAGATAGATATCTTTTCAGAATTGGTACTTTCCCATTCCAGGTGGCTGTACTTTTGAAGGATGCCAGAGACCCCAGCCAGTGATTCTGGGCAGTGAGATGGGAGGGGCTGCTTGTCTCTTAGAAACATACTTATCTCTGATGGTCCGTCTTTTTCCTTTTCTAAAATTCAATGGTAACCTGGTAACCAGGCAGGGATCTGAATACTTGTCCTTCACTAGAGCCCAGGGGTTTGTGATAGAGCCAAGGACACTCTGGTGCAAAGCGGCTGGCGAGACCAGCCTCTCTCTCCTCTCTCTGCTCTGAGGATGCACTAGTCAGATGAGGGTGATTTGGAGATACAAGGACTAACCTCTGATATGTACTCAATGAATAGGTCATTATGAAACCAGAACAAAACAGCCTGTTTGAGAAAATAATTGATTCATCCGCTGTCAATTCTTAACAGGAAGAGCAGTGAGTATCTATGTTATGGATTTCTTTTTGTTCTAATTCTGTAATGAGTTGCCTCCTGGTAGGTAAAGTGCTACAGAGATGCAGTTCTGTCTGCTAGAAATGTGTTTCTTATGACTATACTCAGGTGAGGGCAAAGCTTAGAGCAGGGAAGTTTATTAGTGACTTGTTCTAATAGCAAAACTGGGAAGGAACCTACATTAGTCCCTCAAAAGGACGACTAATTAACTCATAGCACATCCACCAAAGCTTCTCACCTGTTAAAATGGACACATTATTGAAGAGAACCCCAAACTCTCAGAGCTATTGTCATCTATGATACTCGAACAGATTTATATTTCTTAAAGCAATCTGCATTGTTCTTTTAAATGTTCTTTTATGTTAACCTTTTGCTTTAAGTAAAAATACACTCTACCAATTATTCCAAAATTAATCTTTTTTTTTTTTAGAAACAGTGCTGGTTAATATTAACATCTTTGGTGCATTAGCCAGCTATTCTGTAGCTTCAGTTAGGTGGGTTTTCATTCATAATCTTACCCCCCGGGGTTTCAGGTCTCACAGCAACATAGATGAGCTGGGTGTAATTTTTTTTTCAAAGTTAATTGTAGATGTGAAGCAGCAAGTTTAATAAGAGATCTACTCTCACAGTGAGCTTTTCCTACTTCTTTCAGAGGTACGATGTTAGGCCATACTGATGACTTAAAAAATTGTAGAGCATGAAACTAGAAAATTATGTGAGTGCTAAAGAAATGTACAAACTCCAGAATTTATGTGTGCAGAGTTCAGTGCATGACAGAAAGGAGACCCATGTGTGATGTGAACTTGAATGTTAATTTCAGCTGATCAGGATTGAAATACTAGCTCTTCCACTATGTGACTTTGTGTAACCCAAAACTTGTTTTGCTCATCACCCCAATGGCAGCAGTCATACCTGCCTTTGGTAAGAATTAAATGAGGTAATTTATTGAGTGACTGGCCACCACTGTTATCCACACCAGAAAACCAAACCCACTGCCATCGAGTTGAATACAACACTTGGCAACCTGATAGACCTGCTAATGTGGGTTTCTGAGACTATTAACTGTTTTCAGGATTAGAAAGCCTTCCCTTTCTTTTAGAGCAACATGGTGGTTTCAAACTGCTAACCTTGCTGTTAGCAGCACAATTTGTAATCCACTATGCCGCTAGGGCTCAGAAGCCCTTTAGTGTAACAAAAAAAACAATATTATCAAACTTCTTTTTCTCAACATTATTCTAAGGTATAAGAAGTAGCAGCAAATAAAACATCCATACTTTAAAAATGAGATTTTCATTTAATTTCCCTCTTCTCTGAAGAAAAATTACATGTAAATCACACTTGGATCCTGAAAATGCCCCATTTCCTTGTCACAAGTCTCATCAAGGTAAATTATACTGAGATGACAAATTTTACACCTTATTCAAAACTCAGTAATAAAATAATCATGCTTATCATTAACTAGAAAGGGAATAAGAGGAGTAGTATGCCAAGAACAAAGATTTAGAGGCTGACTTAGTACTGCCTAAGTAAGTGTTGTAAGGAAAATGCTGTTGTTAAGTGCTGTGAGGTTGGTTCCGACTCATTGCAACCTTGGGTACAACAGACTGAAATGTCATTCTCTTCTCATTGTTATGTTTGAACTCATTGTTACAGCCACCATGTCAATCCCGCTCCTAGACTCTAGATCAGCGGTTCTCAACCTGGGGGTCAGTTGTCCCTTTCACAGGGGTCTCCCGATTCATAACAGTAGCAAAATTACGGTGATGAAGTCGCAATGAAAATAATGTTATGGTTGGGGGTCGCGACCACATGAGGACCTGTATCAAGGGGTTACGGCATGAGGCAGGTTGAGAACCACTGCTCTAGAGGATCTGCTGCTTTTTCATCGATCCTCCACTCTCCAAGCATGATGCTCTTCTGTAGGGATCACTCCCTCCTGACATCACCTTCAAACATGTTCTAACTCTACTGCTTCTAAGACAGGTTTTTCTTTCTTCTGGTAGTATGCTCAATCATCACCAACCCCATAGTTGAGTAGCATCATTTCTGTCATCTTCATTATACATGCTCTAGCTTTTGCATACACATGAAGCTATTGAAAATACCATGGTTTGGGTCAGGCACATATTAGTCCTCAAAGAAACACCTTTGCTCTTTAAGACTTTCAAGAGGTTCTTTAAAACAGATTTTCGAATGCCATACATAGATCATTTGATTTCTTGACATGCTTCTATAGGTGTTGATTACAGATCTAAGTAAAATGAAATTCTGGTTAACTTCAATCTTTTCTGTTTATCATGATATGGTTTACTGGTTCATTTGTGAGACCCCATCCCCCATCTCCTACCTTTACATCGAGTTGCAATCAATATTGAAGTCTATAGACTTTTTTTTTT